CAAGTGGCTTCGTGGGACAGTGGCACCCATCTCTTGCTCCTGCTTGCCCAGGCCCCACGACTTCTCAGCTGATGGCTTCAATGACTGGGCCTTCATGACGACACACTCATGGGATGAGGACCCCTCCGGGGAATGGGTGCTGGAGATCGAGAACACCAGCGATGCCAACAACTACGGTAGGGCTGGGCTGGCCTTGCCCGCACCGCTGCCCCCTCTGAGCCCAGGGTGGGAGTGGGAGCAGCGTGGGTGCCCAGTGTCCCCCCAGCAGCCCCGAGCCAAGGGGCCGGTGGTGACTCCTTGGATGCTTTGCAGTGACCAGGCTGGGGAGAGGCTGGAGCTGGGCACGCAGGGAGCAGATGCAGCTGATCTGGGGCGATGTGGGTCTGAGGCAGCAGATGCCCGCCATGCCAGCTGGCCTGACCACCCTGCTGCACTCTGTGGGCAGCCCTGCACAGGGGCATGGTCCCACGTTGGGTGCTCTTCCAGGTGGTGGGCACAGCCCCACTGTCCCCTGACAGCCCATGGCAGGGACCAGTGCAAGCCCCCTCCCTGTGCCTGTCCCAAGCATGCATGGTCCCATGGGCATGTTGATGGTCCTTACCCCATGTTGTTGCAGGCACACTGACCAAGTTCACGCTCGTGCTGTACGGGACGGCCACCGACTCCCCCAGCCTCTCCAACCAGCTGGAGAGCAGTGGCTGCAAGACCCTGACCCCCAGCCAGACCTGTGTGGGTGAGTGCGGGGCAGCAGGGAGGGGACAGGAGTGTGGGGCACAGGAGGTCCTGCTTTCACTGACCCTGCCTTTCCCACAGTCTGCGAGGAGGGGTACTACCTGCACCAGAAAAGCTGCCTGAAGCGCTGCCCTCCCGGCTTTGCGCCTGGTGTCCAGAGCACACACTACAACCTGGAGAACAGCGTGGAGCCCATTGCACCACACCTCTGCCTGCCCTGCCACCCCTCCTGTGCCACCTGCACGGGGCCCGGTCCCAACCAGTGCCTGACCTGCCCTGCGCACTCCCACTTCAGCAGCCTGGACCTCTCCT